TCACGCAAGCTCTGATACAATGTTAAGTGGACCATCTAAATCAAAAGGTTAAGTTGATGGTTGAGTCTAGAGCTATCAATTCACACTACTAGAAATAGGCTAAATTGCGACGGAATACTTACGACGGACATGTTTTTCCGTCGTTAAGGTGGATAATTACGACGGAACAAAATTCGTCGCAATTTAGCGACGAAAAATTACAATTACGAGGCATTTTCCCTCGTAAAATTTACGACGGAAATAAGTTCCGTCGTAATTAAACTTACGACGGAAAATTCCGTCGCAAAGTAATTTGCGACGGAAATAAGTTCCGTCGTAAGTTTATAATTACGACGGAACTTATTTCCGTCGTAAAACTCATTGTCATATTTGAAATTTAATTTTGTATCCTTGACCTAAAAAAAGGGGGAAAGAAACGCAGAGAGAGAAAGAGAAGTAGTGACAGGAGAGAGAGAAAGAGAAGGAGAGAAAAGAAAGAACGCGGCGTTCCTGGTGGTTTCCGGCGACGCCCCAGTGAACGAAAGAGAAGGAGAGAGAAAGAGAGAGGCAATTTTTGGAGTCGTTGCACAGAAGAAAGAGAAGGAGAGAGAAAGAGAGAGGGAAGGAGAAGTCGCCGCACGTTTCTTCCGCCGTCGGTGACCCAAACCACAGCCCTCCGTCACGCAACTGCCGTCGTCAGGTCAATGTACACCTTTTATTTTTGGTTTTTGTTTTTTTGTTTTTTTTCATTCGAATCTGAGTTTTTTTTGCTTTGACCACCACAACCGCAGCCTCTGACCTCCGACCTCCGGCCTCCTCCCTTCCCTCGCCGTGGATGGTTGTCGTTGCCGGCGCCGCGCCAAGGTCTGAGTCATGCCAATTTTTTTTTAATTTTTTTTTTGTTAAATAATAAACCCTTATTTATTTAATTTATTTTTTAAAATATTTTGTAGGATTTGTACAATTAGATTGTTTGATTGTCAAAAAGAAGTGCAGATCTAAAGGTTAGTCACATTACAAACTTTAATATTTTGTATGTATGTTACTTTGGTTTGGTTTTGTTTTACATAACTTAGTTAAGTTAAGTTTTTTCTAATATAATGTGTTTTAGTTTAGTTTTGTTAATTTTTTTTTGTAAGTATGTTAGTTTAGTTTAGTTTATCTTTTTGTAAGTATGTTAGTTTAGTTAAGTTTTTTTTTTTTTTAATATAATGTGGTTTAATTTAGCTTAGTTTTACTAAAGTATATTAGATTAGTTTAATATTATGAAACTTTAGTTTAGTTTATTTTAATATAATGTGGTTTAATTTAGTTTAGTTTTACTAAAGAATATTAGATTAGTTTAATATTATGAAACTTTAGGTATGTTTTGTTTGTTTTGTTTAATATGATGTATGTTAGATTACTTTAGTTTATTATAATCTAGTTTAATTTTGTTTAGTTTAATATAATGTTTCATACTTAAGTTTAATTTTTTATAATGCATGTTACTATATTTAATATTATGATATGTTAGTTTAGTTTGGTTTTGTTTGGTTTGATTTGTTTATATTAATGTTATGGTTTTATGATATGTTTGTTTATGTTAAGTTTAATTATGATATATTTGTATAATTTTTTGTATGTTAGTTTAGTTTTAATATTTTTTAAAAAATCATTTGCATAATCATATGCCTAGATACCCGTTCAAGGCATACACATTAGGAGTATGTCTTGAATAGTCCCCGGTTGGGACTGTCCTTGTACGTTTATTCTCACTTAGGTGGTGAATGTATTCCTTTGTTTTAATTCTAAGGAAGATCCTTGCTTGTCATTTCTCTATAATGTTCTCTAGGTACATATATAGGTGTTTCTAATCGCCTATATTGTGTACTCGGGGAACTGTAGGGAGATGCTGCCGGATTTTCCATAGAATTGAAATTCTGGCATACATTCACTAGTGAGATTGAACGTACAAGGATGGGTTAGGTTGGAGTGATAAGGACCCTTGGAAATCATTTCTCTTCTCATTTGCATTTCCATAACAGTTTGATCTATAATGAATATGTATTGTGCTTTATGACTAATGTGATTAATGGCATATGTGTTAGTTGTGTAGAACTTGTAATCATGAAACGAAAAGAACGTAGCTGGATGTACGAAAGGAAGGTTGGGAATTCTATTAATCCTGAGTTCTTGAAGGGGGTAGATGAATTCCTTAAATATGTGGAAGATCATCCCGAGAGTAGTAACCCGAATGAAGTTAGGTGTCCATGTTTTAAATGCAAAAACAAACGTCTCTGGGATCCAGATACGGTCAAACTTCATTTGTATCGCAACGGTTTTTTACCTAATTACTACGAGTGGATGTGTTATGGGGAAGGGTTTCCAGGAACTCGTAGAAGGGAGTCAAATGAATATCGTGAAATGGTTTTGGATGCCTTTGGTCAGTCTCAAGATCAAGGCCATTCCGAAGAGCCACCTGTTTCATTAGAGGAGGAGCCTAATGCACAAGCCAAGCCATTTTTTTGATTTGTTAAGGGCTTCTAAACAACCGTTATACGAAGGGAGTTCATTGTCTGTGTTAGAGATGGCTTCTAGAATCACTAGCCTAAAGTGTGAGTATAATTTGCCGCACAGATGTGTTGATGGATTTGCTTCTTTGGTTAATAAAGCGATTCCTAACAACAACCACATGGCCGTTTTTTGTCGATTTATCATTAAAAAAATTCAGGTTTGAAAATGCAGAAAATTACAAAAATTTGTTTTGGGCTGGAAATACAATTTGCGACGGAATATTTCATTGTAATTTACATATTTGCGACGGAATTTTCCCTCGCAAAATATAATTTGCGACGGAATTTTCCCTCGCAAAATATAATTTACGACGGAATTTTCCGTCGTAAAAATATACATTGCGACGGAATTTTCCGTCGTAAATTATAACTTGCGACGGAAAATTCCGTCGTAAATTATATTTTGCGAGGGAATTTTCCATCGTAAATTATATTTTGCGAGGGAAAATTCCGTCACAAATTATATTTTGCGAGGGAAAATTCCGTCGCAAATTATATTTTGCGAGGGAAAATTCCGTCGTAATCTAGCTTTGCGACGGAACTTTTTCCGTCGGAAGTTTGTGACGGAACTTCATCAAAGGTCAATTCCAAGTCCGACGATATTATTTCCGTCGTAAAATGGCCATTTTCCTACAAAGGGTTTTCCGCCAACCATTTACGACGGAATTCCGTCGTAAACCAACTTTACGACGGAATTTACATAGTTTACGACGAACTTTTTCCGTCGCAATTTTGTTGTTTTCTTGTAGTGTCAGGTATTCAAGTCGGGTTCAGGTCGGTTTAAATCGGGTCTCGGGTCAAATCAAGATCAGGTTGTGTCGGGTCAATCTAGCCTCAGATCAGATTCAGGTTTTGGTCGGGTCAATTTCGATTCATGTTATTCCGGATAGTTCATCCTTTCGGTTGTAGGTCGGGTCCGATTCGTGTCAAATTCATAACGAGTTCAATTTCAAGTTCGGGTTGTATTGAGTCGGGTTGGTAGGGTTAATAGATGGTACATTCGGGTTCGGGTCAAGGTTGGGTCAGATAATTGTTTGGTCGGATAATCTTAAAGTTGGATCATTCTTGGTTTTGGTTCAAGTTCAATTCGAATAAATTCGATGTGGTCAAGTTAATTTATTTAATTTAATTACTAACATAATTTGTTCAAGCATTATCAAGATTTTATTACACCTATATACGAAGTAATAAAGAACAAAAGGTATATAAAATTTTATTAAACCGTCCATGCATGACTCGTTTCAATAACAGGTTGTAGTGGGTTATAAAAGTTTTCAGGTTCTAATAGGGTCGGGTACTAGTTCGGGTTTGGATTGGTCAGAGTAAATCGGTTGACGGTTACTATCGGGTTGGGTGCAGGTTCGAATTCAGGTCATAAAGTGTTGAATCAAATTAGTTGTCGGTTAACATCAGGTTAGTTCAGGTCGGGTTACAGGTCACTAGTTTTAGTTTTACCCCATTGTTCGGGTACAGGTCAGGTTCAGATCATTATCGGTTCAAGTCGGGTTCTCGGGTCGGGTCAATTTTTGACAGCTCTAGTTGAGGCCCAGAAATATGTTTAATAATCTATCAAAATATATTTTATAATCTATCACCTAGTAAGTTCATAATAAATATTATCATCATTTGATCATATACATCAGATTATTAGTTGTGTTAGAAATATTACTTTGAAGAAGATGGAGAAGAATTGGGTTGTTGGCCTTGCTGCGAATGCCCATAAAATTCCTCCCTACAATAATTATATCAAATTAGACAGGTTAAATCGACAAATAATGAATAATTAGCAACATCAATTCAATGAGATTAATACTCGTACCATATATCCATGTCACTATCACTATCATTCTCGTTCTTTGCCATGTCTGAGGCCGATGACGAGGGGTATGTTGGGCACTTGGGGGTGTAAGCTCTGTTTCTTTAGGGGGTCTTTTACCTTCGGTAAAGTTTACCCACAATCATAATATTGATAGGGATTAATGGGAGAAATAGGAAATATTTAAGGGAATTTGGAACTGTTTTTGTCGGTTTTCTTTCCTTCCATAATATAAATCAAGCCGAAAGTGCTAAGCCCAAATATTTTTTTTTTTTTTAATTTTATTTATATCGAATTAAAAACAATTTAGTTTGGTTGGGAACGAATTAGAACTAGAGCATATCCGTGCATTGCACGGGATACATTATATGTGTAATACCCGAGATTTTAAAACTTAATTTATTATACTCTAATTTTATTTTATTAGCTTAATTAAAGTTTAATTTATATTTTACCAAGCATGACTATTTTAGTCTTAATCTTATTTTATGATTATATTATTTCAGAAGCTAATTATACGAAGCAAAGTAATTATTTTAAAATGTATTTCGGGTTAATAAGTCATATTTTTATGTTTTGTCAAATATTGAAAGATTTGCATCAGGATCTTTATTTTTACCCGAGATAGTGAAATGACCATTATGTCCTTGCTCGCAAAAGACAAAGCTTGCCTCTTCATTTCACTTCCTATCTTCACGGCTAAGCAATGAACTAGCTTAGTCTAGTTTTGCTTTCTTGCTATTTGTTGCTTAAAATTTTATGATTATCTTTAGCAAACTTGGTCATTATCCTTTCTTTCTTCCTAGCAGCAAGTATAAGAATAGCCATAAAGTTCGACGGCTAAATTAAAAAACATCACTAATAGCTTTATCACAACCACCGCCACCCCTACTTGTTCAAGGCGGTGCCACCCCTCCCTTGCCGTTGACAAGTCACCCCGACGCGGCCTCTGATTGCAGCCCACTCTTCTTCTTTCTCCATGTTCGTGATATATATGTTCTGTTCTTACCGAGACACAAGTGGTCTTTTAAAACCAAGTTCTTGAATTGAACCTACTTCTTTTCAATATCACCAAAGTGAGTTTACTTTGTTACTTTTAATTTTGGTTATGACTCTTATGAGAATGATTTCATACTTTGTATTTCACTATTACTTTTCCTTGATAATAATAACATGAGTAGTACCTATGTTATGCTATTTTATACTTGTTTATTTTCTAAAATAATCACTTGACATAAGAAATGATTTTACTGTATTTCGTATGATAAATCCTCTAAAATGAGTCTTATTAATGCTTTCATACTTAAATTATTAAAGAGATTAGAGTTTTCAATTCATTTACTCTACTAATATGAATAGTAGTATGTAGTATCTATTTTATAAGTAGTTCTTGTTTTACTCTGAATTATGTAACAGTTGTTTTATTCTATGAAAATAAGTTAATATTTGTTTTTATCAAAGATTTTGAATTAAGGAAGTTACTAATGAGTATTTATTATTATTGGGTATGATCAAATGAGTCATGACAATGAGGAACTAATGACGGAGGTTGAGAGTTCGAATAATGATTATTGGAGAATGAGTGAGATGATTAAAGATGATCAAATTAGGTAATCATTATGTCTAGCAATTGTGTTTAGTCTCGTATATGTAACTATGATGTTTAGCAACTGTGTCTAGTCCCGTATGTGTGGCAATTATGTTTGGTAATCATGAATGCACCTGTGTAATCATGACATGTTTGACAACTTAAATGGCCTGTTACTACATCATATGTAAGCCTATATGATATGTTTGACGTGTTATGATTTAAAAGTGTGTTATGTGTAAATGACATGACATGACCTTTTATATCCTTGTATATATTTTTAATGACTTATGATATGATAAACATGTTTATTAATGTATTTCAGTCTTCTGATTTATATGAATGATTTTATATATGTACAATTTATTGATTTGTGGATCTCTCGAAAGTATGTTAATAATCTACGAATAAATTGTTAAAAGGTACACAACATGATAAATGAAAGTGAAAGCCCTAGTTCGTCTGGCAGTATATGTTATGTTTCGGTCATGCAATGCATGTACCCATGGGGCACCAGCCCAACTATGTGGAGCACCTGCTCTATGTTATGGGCACCGGCCCATCGCGGAAGACGTTCCGCCATGTCATACTGTCCAGCGACTAGCATGTCCACCAAAAAGATTACGAATACATGAATTTTATTAAAGGACTTAAGAAAACTCACAAGGATACTCTATTGATGAGTTTTACGATGTACTGATATGTACGATAGTTCATAAAGATATCTTTATATCATACAAGGTGATAAGAATGCTATGAACGACATGTATTTCTAGTTATTTTATTAATTTATAAAATATGTGTAAGTGAGCTGTTATGTTAAGCCCCTGTTAAATGTTTAATGTAATGATTATTTTATTCAATTAAGTGTTATGAATTAATGATTACGATATGTGTCAATGTGCTATGAATTTTTATGAAATGTAAAGTTGTTCTGAAATGATTTAAAATGATACGATAGATGAAACTTTTGTCGGCATTGGAAAGTGAACTGAACGTTGAAAAGAAAGTATGTTAATGAAAGGGGGAAACATTCCCACACGAATGAAAGTTATGTTACGTCCAAAACATGTACTTACCTATGATCTTACATAAAGGGAATGATCCTTGCCAACACAGCTTTTAAAATTAATGATGTTAGATTATTTCTGAACAACTATGTATGTTTGATATATGCTCAAATGATTTTGAAAGAAAAACTGTTTTACAGGCTAGAGTAATGTTACTGAGTTTTCAACTCATTTTTGGATTTTCCTGTGTTTTCTCTGTTTTCTATTTTTATGGATAATTACAGGGATAATGATGACAGAGCTGAAGTTAATCTAAAGCAAAGGGATTAAAGGAATTTATTTAGTTCAGGGATTATGGAATCAAGGCTTATGTATTAGGGATCATCGAGAGCTGAGATATATTGATTATTTTATTACAGTAAGGAAGACTGGAGTTGTATTTTTTTTATTGAATATTCTCATTAAGGAGTATGTTTATTTGTGGGCCTATAACCCACAGGTGGCTATGAGATTATCTATATATAATTGATTCCGCTTAGTATGATGAGTAAAGAATGGTTTATCTATGGTTAATTAATTCCGCTGCGAATGACGAGTTATATACGATCTGGTGACGCCGATTAAAAGTCGGGGCGTTACAATATGCGAAACAAATCTATTTAAAGTGAAATATTGGTGGTTATTGCTTATTGGTATACCTTGAAAAAAAATTACAAAAAATAAAATAAAAAAATAGTGGGATGGGTAGGGTAGTTATGGGTGTTTTAAAAAAAAAATTTTAAAAAAAAATTTAAAAAAGTGTGATTAATAGAATTTTAGGATTGGGAATTTGGGTGATTGTGGTGAATTGACTCTACAATTATAATATAGATTTCAATGGCATCAAAACAAATGATAATTTCACATACTCATAAATCTCGAACTGAGATTTTTTTTTTTGCTGAACTTAAATTATTTTTACTGAACTTAAATTATTTTTGCTTAACTTTATTTTTTTGCTGATTTTCTATTATAATTCTTCTTTAAGAAAACTGAATTTTACTAAACTCAACTTATTTTTGCTAAACTGAAAATAATTTTACTGAACTGAATTTATTTTTACTGAACTGAATTATTTTTTACTTAATATTATTTTTTATAAGGTGAATAGAACAGGACCTAACAGAGTTATATACTTTCCAAAAAAAAAAAATAAAGGAAAAAAGTTCTATACTTTCAATGTAATCCGTCAAAACAAGTAAACAATAACAAATTAATCAATTAGATAAGTATCCAATAATATAATAAATCAGTAATTTTAAATTAATTACCCTACAAATTATGCTCGAATTACTCACTTCAATCCAATCATCCAAGTAATCCAACAATAATTGAACAAAGCCTATCAATTTAATACTTAAATCATAAGTAATTAAACATTAAAGGGTTGTGCAATAGATTAGCAACCAATTTTGATTCAATTATCAAATAAGGCTCGAAAAAACACATAAATAATTTTAGGGATATATGATTCAATTATCAAATTAGGCTCATAAATTTCTTTTCATAATCTATCTTAAAATTCAGAGGCAAAAGTTAAGATTTTCGAACCCTAAACTTATTGCACTGACAATTAAATTAAATTAATCCTAGATTGTGAAATTGATATGATTATTACAAAAAGAGACAACAACTTACCTCAGACGCTGCATCAATGGGAAACCTAACGTGAAGTGCACTTCAATGGAGAACTGAGAGGAGGGAAGACTATGCAATCATCCGTTTTATATTTCTTGTTTTTGACAAGCAATTCACTGGGTTGGAGCCCTATTAATAAAAGTCCTAAGCCGTCCCAATTATATATGGGTTAGTTACATCAGTTAAATAAATATATTGAGGATATATTTACTTAGCATAATTTATGCAAGGACATCTTTTTGGCAGTTTTCTAATCCTATCACAATAGGGTTTGCTTCGTTGTTTTATTTATTTTACGTGACGCTTGAATTAAAAATTCCAAACCTTATTCACTAATTTGCTTATGTGACAATATAAATTTTTGATTCAAAAAAAGAAATGACAAATCTCGTTTTTTTATTGATCAAAATAAGTCTTTTGTCTATGCATTTATTTAATATACTCGTTCTGTTTAAAATGTTAGTCTCATTTATAATCGGTTAACTATTAAAAATTATGGGAAATCAGTCATATAAGATTAAGTTTTATTCGTCTTGATGAGTACATTATTAAAATCAAACTTTTATAGTATTTGTTAGGAAGGGATTAAAGATACGTAGAATTTTCCATCAAAAATTTGCATCCATATGAGTAAAAAGATATTATTTAGTTTTTTTTTAATTATTCTCTATTCGTAAAATTAAACTTTTACAATATTTTCTAGAGAGAGATTAAAGATATTTGCGATTAAAAATTTGCATGTAAAAAAAGATAATTATTACTTAGTTTTTTTTTTTTTTAGAAAAGATAATTATTGGTTTTCAAAAGTAATTTAAATTTTAATTATTCAATATATGTGTCAAAATTCTTAAATCCTATTCGTCACTTTTGCTTAGGTGGCGAGTAAATTTTTTAATTCTAAAATAAATTATTAATCTAATTTTTCATTGGTCGAAATAATACATTTTCTTATGTGGCGCGCCAAATGCTCCCGAAAAATGCCTACTTTATTTATATATATATTAGATTTATAGAAGAACACTTATTATGAGAATTAAGCCTTGTGTTTGATTTAATTTAGCATGGTATTTATCTTTTTGGTAGGTCTTTATACAGTACTATCTAATTACAGGTTCTTAACGGGACGGGTTATGTCTTACAAATTACAAGAACTAGAGCATATCCGTGCTTTGCACGGGATACATTGTATGTGAAAGAAATCTATTTAAAGTGAAATGTTGGTGGTTATTGCTTATTGGTATTCGTTGAAAAAAAATTACAAAAAACAATCAAAAAATAGTGGGATGGGTAGGGTAGTTATGGGTGTTTAAAAAAAAAAATTTAAAAAAAGTGTGATCAATAGAATTTTAGGATTGAAAAAAAAAAAAAAAAAAAAAAAAAAAACTCTAAATGCATGAGAGTTGTGGAATGAAGGTTTTGGAGGCTCCTCATTCACTTACTCTACAATTATAATATAGATATATCGGTTAGAAAAATCCTAAACTGAATTAATATGGTTTTGTTTAATTTTGGTTGTAAATAAAACGGTAAACCAAACTTTTACCCGCCCCTAGATATGAGTTTGCTACTTTGGTAGTTTGGTGAAGTTAGGGAAGCTAATTGAGCAGAGCAATCCGTAGCAACTCAAACTCGACTCGAGTTGCCTTGTGCTTGCTCGAATCAGCTTAAAAATTGACAAGTGTACAAAAAATCAATATCGTTATGCTCTTGTATCTTCACAAACAAAATTTTACCTTGACACTATATAAACAAGCTGTGAGACACACGCAAATTAATATGCATGACTCGATTCTTTTTTTTTTCCCTAAAATATTATCTACCTTATTCTAATAAAAAAAAAATATTAGTGGGCTTATAAATTGATAAAATCATAGAGGTTAAAAGTAAGATATGAGTACATTATAATGTTCATGCAAAATATGATTTCCCTCAAAAAAATAAATTAAAAGGTGGTAGGTTTTTTTGTTTTTGTTTTTTTTTTTTTTTTTTAAAAAAAAATGGTAGTTATATTTTTTAAATTATGGTAGTTTTCTTTTGAAAATTATAAAAGAAGAAAGAGGTATTTTGGAAAAGTGAAATTTATCACCCAAAATCCCCTTTCACTTTATATATTACTATAGATTTAAATTGATACATTTTAATATGAAAACTTTATAATCATATAATGACAAGAAAATATACCCCCCCCCACCCCTCACCCCTTCTTTTATTTTTTATTTTTTTTTGGCCTCGTAGTATAAATAACTTTACAATATTAATTTTTGGCTGGACGAAAAAGTGATGAGAGAAAAAATGGTTGGGTTAATGGGTTGATTGTGAGAGTAAAGTTAAGGACCCAATGTCCAAAAATAGAATAGGGTGAAATTAAGGGTGTGTTCTATTCACCTGATTTTCACTGATCTGAACTTATTTGAACTTATCTAAACTTACCTGAACTTATCTGAACTTATCTGAACTTATTAGACCTTGTTAAAACTTATTTTAGTTGTAATTTGTACTTGGGTAACCCTTATCAGAACTTATTAAACCTGATCTGAACTTATCTGAACTTAACTGAACTTATCTGAACTTATTACACCTGATATAAGTGATAATAAGGTGAACAGAACAGACCCTAAATGGATAGACTAAGGGTGTGTTTTATTCACCTGATTTTTACTTAACCGAACTTAACTGAACTTATCTGAACTTATCAACCCTTATCTGAACTTATCTGAACTTATTACACCTTATTAACACTTATTTTCACTTATTTGACCTTATTAAACCTTATTAACACTTATAAGACTTTAGTAGACATTATTTGTCATTCTTGAAACATATTGAGTAACATATTGGTAATATGAGTATATATATAACAATATATTAAAATAAAAGAAATAAAATATGAAAATATTAGTATTTTGATAATTTCAAATATTAAAAAAAAATAAACACTGAAACAAGTAAAAGTGTATGTTGCAATAACACCAAATAAAATTTTAATCTTTTAATGCTTCATCATCATTGTAACACCCCAATAATTCTCCCTTTTCCAAACCACTTACTTTAAATAAAAATAGAGGAGAACCATTGGCATGTTACCGCCACGTGTTAAAATGTTAAGGCTTTATCAAAGTATTGCAGCGGAAATCCAACTTAAATATTAAAATAATATAATTTAGAAAACCAATAAGTCAAAGCTTACAAATTGGAACCATAAAGGCCCTTATTAAAACCAAACCAATATTCCAAAATCCCAAAACATAATTAAAATAGTAAAACATAAATAAGTTCAACACAGAGAACGAATACTCTCAATCACACCAATCCCTTGACAATGCGTATGTCAAATCTCCGAACTTCACATCATCAAGCTAACCTGTGCAATACTGCTCCCCAATAATACAAGTGTAATAATTGGATCATCACAGGGTCATTGAAAGGCGAAGGCCATGACCAAAAGAAAACACACAAAAGCACGCAATCAGCAAAGCTGAGTACATACAAGCTACAACGTACCAAGCCTAGCATGCTCAACTAATTAAAGTAAATAAACATACAACACAAATTCATTAATCAAGACTCCACACTTAAACAATTCAATCGACTCAACATACTTGCTAATCAATTCCAAACACTTGACTCTTTATATTTAATTTAATTAATTTAGTTGGAGTAAGCAATAGACGAGGTTGTCCAATCCACCAAATCATTTTGGTCCCAAATGACCATTTAAAATAAAAGTTTAGCGCGATGCAAGAATGGGCGCGACTCCATTCTCACAAAGTTAGTCTAGGATCCCATCTAACTTTCATTATAAAATAAAAATGTAAATACCAAAAGAAAAGAGGACATGTTGATCAAACAAGCCTCGAAAAGCCACGGGCTACCACCGTGTACCCCAACCCATAATTGTCATACTCTAGAAGTGCACGCTTTCCAGAGTTTTATTGCTCATCCATGTTTCACTTTACGTGATTACAATTTTAATTAATAGTCGAATCATTCAAGAAGACCATACATTACAATCATACATCAATTCACTTTTAATCTTATTTAGGACAATGGTGATCACATCACAAGTTGACCTTTAATTCCATTAAACTTCCAAATTATTCAAAATTGTTGAACATAGTCAACCCACCTAGCCATTTCGGCTTAATCCACTTTTACTCAACATACTAACAAGTCATGCTCGAGTAATAAAATAAATAACAACCTTGTGGAATAATTAATAAATTCACTCCACTTAAACCATTCAATTTCAATCCTTTAATAATCCAAATGTGGTTAACAAACCGGTCCAATAAAAATATGCTTGTATCAACATTCCATACAAACAATTAATCCAATATAATTCAACATGTTTGCATCCATAATTTCATACAAACATAATCAATTCACCAAAACATGTCTCATAAACATAAGCACATGAATTAATTAAATGTATAACCAAACAATTTTCATCCAAGTGTTCTCTAATCATGAAACTAAGTTCTTTTCTTTGGTACCTAAACATGATACTACTTACAACGAAGTAGACATGTACGTACCTCGTATAAACAATCCTTTGTGCCACTTTTAATCACTTAAAAGTCTCCTGAGAAATAATCACTTCCTAGAAAACAAGCAACAATAATAAATTAATACTTAACCAAATTTCCAGCAATATAATTTAGATTAAAACTCCTTAAAAATTCATTAAAAACATGTTTTTATGGTTAATTATGCATTAGAAATACAATAGGAACAAAAGCCCCAATTTAATTAGTCATAAGAACCCTAAAATCCCAATTTAAATAAATTGAAACCCTAGGTTTTTAAACTTATAAAATCTGAAAATTATAACAACAATTATAATCTGAAATTATTAGTTTAAAACATAAAAACATGATTTTGATACTAAAAATATAAACTTTATACTATAAAATCAAAACCCAAAACTAATCATAAACATTAAGCATAAAAAAAACTTCGTTAAAAATCAAAAACTGCCCGAAAATCATATTTAGAGGCTGAATTTGGCCACGAGAGGGTGGTGCTCACTACCAAAGGTACCAAAAGTAGTGAGTCATTCTTAAAACATTGTTTTCACATGGAAAATACTACTTTTTTGTCAAAATCGGATGAGTTCAGAACCTGATCGGGATTAAAACGGGATTAATATTAACGAACCAAAATCTAAACATTAAAACACGAATTTACGTGTTCAAAATAATCTGGAATTAAGTTAAACTAATTAGTAGTATAATCACCAAAATTTCGAAACATCATTACTATAAAAGCCCTAAATCGATTGTTCATAAAAACCCTAAAATCATGATTTTCAATGATTAAAAACCCTAGGTTATTAAATTTACAAAATCTGAAAATTATAACATTTATAAAATCTGAAATTATAAAGTTTAATCATCAAAATACAATTTGATACTAATTAAATTAATTTCAAACAACAAAATCAAAACTCATAATCAATAATTATAATTACACAAATTAATAAAATAAAGGAGAAAGAAAATAAGACTAACCTTTTGTGTGGGGAAATTTTTGGGGATGTATGGGGTATTTATAGGAGAGAGGGTAGTAGGGTAAGTAGGGATATTGGGCCTCGTTAAATTAATGGGTCAATTAAGAAAGTAAACTGGGTTTAGTTTATTTGTTGGACATAAATTATAGAAGGAAGGTTCATAAAAAGTTCTTTGTAATAAAATCGTTTATCAACCCCAAAAATAATTTGAAAGTTTTGAAATTAAATTCCGGAAAAATACAAATAAATATTATTTATAATATATAATTTTATTTATAATATATTTAAAAATATGGGGGATTACAATCATCATCATTCTCATCATCTCCTTCTTCTGTATCATCCTCTACGACACCTCCAACCGACTTCCATATATCTTTTGTTATTTTATCCCGAATACGGTTCATAGCTTTTTTCCTTTGGATATCATACAAATTATAATCTACTCTAGTCTCCATTTCTTCAACCTCTTAATATTGGTATCCCTAATTCGTATAGACGGATAAAGTTGTGAAGTGTAAATGTTGCAACAATGATAGACAATTGAAATGCTTCATCCATCGGTGGCATCATCTTTAAGATTTTCCATTTTTTCTTTAATACGCCGAAACATCTTTCAATTGTTGAACGTAAAGAGGAATGTCGATAGTTATAATGCTCTAAGTTTCCAATAGGTGGACCCCTTTCTTCAAAATCTGGAAAATGATACCTCAAGTCTTTGCCCATATGCGGGCTTAGATATCCAAGAGTATTTGGATATGCTGAGTCAACTAAAAAGTATTTTCCTATTCATTCAGAAGAAAATATTAGTATACACTAAAAATAAGGTAGCATATTTATCTAAGTAACAACAAATTTAAACTTTAAATAGTACCTGAAGGTGGATGGGGGAATTTCTTGGTTACATCACCTAAACAATGTGTCCAGACTCTCGTGTCATGTGCACTTCCTTCGAATCCCACATTAAGAAAAGTAAATAACATGTTAAACAAACATGCAACCATGATATTCCATGTTTTGTTTCCTTTACGTCCTCTATATGGCTTACCACCAACATCATCAACAACTGCTTCTATATGGGTACCATCTAAAGCTCCGACACAATTCTAAGAATGATTTTTTGAAAATTAATATTAGAATGAAAAAATGTAGCATGTTAGGATAAACATTTTTACTAACTAAATACATTAGAATTGTTACCTTGAAAAATGGCCAATATAATGAATTGTTTTTAATTTCTGGTGGTGATTCATTGAAACTCTGATATGGTCGAATAATATCACAAGATAATGAAACCAAAGCTTTCAATACTGCTCTGAAGTAGATAGAAATGGTTGATATCGAATGTTGAAATCTCTCCGCAACATCACGATATGAATCAGCTTTAGCCATCATGAATAGACGTATGCCGACTTGCTCTTCCACGTATATAAATCGACCATCAGATAATAGTTCTTTCCATCTTAATACATCAACAAGCTTTATGAAGATATCTTTATCAACCCTTAGTTGCTCTTTACACAAATTAGGATGTCCAGTCAATAACCTATGTATCCACTCACTTCCAGGTTCACCCCCTACATGTAGAGGCATTCGTTCTATTTGAGTAAGTAATCTCTTCAACTCGTGCAAGCCAATATATTGACAGGGTAAAGTCGTATCTCCTAATCAAAAGTAATTCCTAAATCCTCTAACTAATGTAGATAGGGAAGTAGGGTCGAATCCACAGAGAAACGAGTCTTTCTATTCCTAATTAATTAATATAATCTAGATTATAAAGTAACCAAAATATTATAATCGAAGGGAACTAAACTACTAAGAGTAAAAGTGGGAAAGAATAAAAGTAGGAGGAGAAACAATAAATAAAAGCCTAGGGCATAGGTTCACCAATAAATAATATTCCAGGGTAAAACATAATAATCAATCATCAATGCATACATTAATCAGATCATAAAGGGCTTTCGCTACGTATTACAATCACACAATTAATTTACCGGTATCAAATCTCATCTCTCGAATCTCAACTTAACCATTTGTAAATTAACCTGCCTATTGAAACTAGACCTAAACATCAATTCTCATCTGTCGAATCTCGAATCAATATTGTTAAACTCATGCATAAAAGATCTGCGCAAATCTAGTCACAGAGCATTAAATCAATCAATAGGAAATTAATCTAGCATTGACAATTAACAACAATAAATTATCCCTTCATATTACTTATGGATCCCCACAAACCCTAGAAATAAAACTACTCAGACTTAACTAAATATAAACTAAACAAAGCAATTAAAGGAGACATGATTAAGATCAAAACAAATAAAATAAGTAAATAAGGAGGGAAGAGATAGTACCAAAAGAAAGAAATATAAAATTGCATAAACCAAGAGTTTAGAGAAAGAAATAAGAGAGATAGTAATACTAAGAGTTTAATTAAGAGGAGAGAGAAAAGGGAAAGAAAAAACTAAACTAAAAAAACTAAAAACACATTAATAAAAACTAAAACTAAAACGAAACTAATGAAAACTCAAAACTAAACTAAGAAAAACTTCCCCCCTATCCTTCGTACTACTACTCCTTTTATAAGGAGCCCACAAAGTTCAAGAATCCCAGGTAAACAAGGCTTAATGTCAGCCTTTTAACCGTCTCACTAACTAAAGCTATTGGGCTTCTTGCAACAAGGCCCAATCGGCTAGTAGCAACAACAACCACTTGCCCGATCGGGCCATGATCTGCCTGATCGGGCCCGGATAATTGGCAGCGAATACAAATTCTTGGCTGCATTCTAGTGCAGCCAAGCTAGCTGCAACAACAATAAATATGAACATACGTTTTTTTTTTTCTTCCCTATATCTTAATTCTCTTTCTTCTTCCTTGGCTCTATTATTTTTCTCTCTCTTCAGTTTTCTTCTCAATTTAAAATTTTCTCTTTCCTCTTTACCTCACTTCCCTTCAATCTTTAAAGTTTTCTTCTTCTTTATATAAATTTTTGAGTTAGTAATTCGTGTTTTGATGGGTATACTCCTTTTCTTTTTAAATCTATGAGTTTCAGATTCAATCATTTGGCTATCAAAGAGGAAAGAAAAAAATGGAGGAGAGAGAAAGTTGAGGTCAAAGAAAACAATGGAGGTTAGATTTTATCAATTTGTAATTGTATTTTGTCTGATTTCGTTGATCATGCATGATGATTTATTGTTTGATTATTTGAAATTATTATGAGTTTGTGATGAATATCAATTAAATTTCTTAATTGTTAATGAATATCAATTGTTAAGGTTTATAATCAATTTTTTAGAGTTTCAATAATTACAGTCGATCTTGAATATAATTTCTGTAAAAAAACTGAATACGTAGGAATTTAAAATGAACATCTTTTACAAAATGAGCATTTAGTACACCGAAAATGAATATTAAATACATAAAAAATGAACATATTTTGACAATTTATTTTATCTTTATTTTACATTAATAATTATGTACAATGAATTTGAACCATTATGAAAATCATGTTCATTTTAATATCCTAATTGTTCATAACTTTTTGTTACATATTCATTTTATAAGTGTTCATTTTTTAATACTAAATGTTCATTTTTATTAGGTTGAAAGTAAAATATAATACGTTGAAAGTTAAACTATCTGAACATTTATGTTGAAAATCTGAACAATTTATTATGAATATATATGTTTCGTTATTCTTTACGAACATATCTGTTATTGATTATGAACACATGTGACATATAGAGTGAATATTATTTATATTTTTAAGTATTGTATTGATGATTATATATTATAAACATTCTAAATAATTATTATGAAGATATTTTGTGATGATTATGAAAATTCTGATTATTTGTTATATTTTAGTGAGTACAGATTAATTGTATTTGTAGAAGACAAAGACTCTGAATTAGTGAAGAAACAACTAAGAAGTGATGAAGAAGTATATGATATGTACAATGAATTTTCCTTTAAGTTGGAGAATTTCCAATGTATATGATCCCAATTTTATGGTTGTATGATAAAGGTTCATTTCTAATATACTAAATGTTCATTTCTTTTTTTTGACATAATCACTTTTTATTACTGAATGTTCATTTTTATTACTGAATATTCTTTTTTTTTATGTGTTCATTTTTCTAACTAAATGTTCATTTTTAAGGTCGTGGTCTAGCAAATTTATGATTATATGATAATTAGATTCATTTTTAATAAATTATCATTTCCTTGTAACATGTTCACTTTTTAGTATTAAATGTTCATTTTTTTTACGTGTTCATTTTTTGTTTTTATATGTTCATTTTTTTTTTCATGCTCATATTTTTGAACTAAATATTCATTTTTTATTTGGGCCGCGCATTTTGGGCTTCACTTGTTGTAGCTATCTTAGCTGCACTAGAGTGCAGCCAAGACCAATTGAGTGCAGCCAAGACCAATTGGGCAGCGAACTGGGCTCCTTCCTTGGGCCTTCTTGCTTACTCTTGGACCTTTGTAGTTTGTCTTATGATTTGTGGCCTCATTATTTATTCCGTAGTAGTAGCTTGTAAAACTTGGGCTTCTTTACTAATCGAACCCTTATTCCCCAAACTAAATTTTGTTAACTCGGTCTTGGGCTTAAAATATCCAGTCATAAAATGTGATCCAACTCCAATATCTTTGTAGTGGCTCAATAAGGTCGGGAATTATCATAATTATGCAAATTCCTACAAAATGATACCAACTCTACAAAAACAATAGAAAACGTATATTAGTAATAAAAATAGCTCCGTAGAGCTCAAATAAGCACAAATATGACCGTGGGACGGGGAATTAAAATATATGTAAAATAGACTCATCAAATATACATCATACAATTTTGTTGGAATGTTTCGTTCATTTTACAAATCAAAATAAAAGTTAATTTCTCAAAAAAAAAAAATCAACAAATACGTAATTAATAATATGTGACTCTTCTTACTTGTCATTGAAACATAATAAAATAGTGAAACGCTAAACATCGCCCGCAATTTACCATATAAAGCCCACAAATATGATATGGTTTGACCATTATGCCCATTTTCTAAAATTGAAATAATCTCGGTGTAAAAAATGTGGAGCCGTACTGGCTCGCCGGGGGAGACCAGAGGGCAGGCCGGAGATGCGGGGGACGCCGGAGGTACGTCGTCGTCGACGGAAAACGAGGTAAGTCACCGTTAAAATTCACGGTTTACCGTCGGAGTGGCTCCGGCGCCTAGGATGGACGCCCAAACCGTAGCCTGGACGTCCAAGCCAGACGCCAGAACCACCAGAGTGGCGTCCAGCCCAGACGCCCAGACCACCAGACTGGCGTCCTGGCCAGGCGCCACTCTACTGGCTGAGGCGGCCCTGCCAGGCGCCAGTCCAGTGGCTGTGGCAGCCCTGGCAGACGCCACCCTTATAAATTAATTTTTTTTTTCTTTTTTGATTTTGTTGTTGTTTTTTATTTAATTTTTTAAAAAAAAAAATCGAAAATGATTTTTTAAAAAAATTCGAAATGGGTTTTTTTTAAATTAAATTTGAAAATTCGAAATAGGTTTTTTTTAAAATTAAATTTGAAAATTCGAAATGGTATATTTTTAAATTTAGTTTGAAAATTCGAATTGGGTTTTTATAAAAATTAAGTTTGATTATATATAATTATGCTTTTTTTTGTGTTAATTCTGTGTAAATATAGAAATTAAATGTATTATCCGTTAAATGTATTTATTGTAATATATAATTGATGCAGGAATATGGTGGAGACGGAAATGATTACAGTGGGATATTTGGACATGATGGTCCATTCGAAGAAGCTCAACAGGCGATTGATTGGGCAAAACAGGTTGCAATTGCAGCTGGATTTTGCTTGGTAGTAGTAACTCATAAATCTCAACGGGATGGTAGAATGGATCGCATTTTGAGATGTGACCGTTATCGCAAAAGAGAAGAAAGAGATTTTCGTACAGCCACTCGGTTTGATACAAAGCGGAAAGGTTGTGGGTGTGAGTTCAGAGTAAAGGTTCGACAACTACGGAGTCGTGACGGTTGGGAAGTGATTGGTTACTCTAAATGGGGGTATCACAACCATGAGATGATAGTATATGAAGAGGGTCATCGACAACTGAGCGGCTTAAGTCCTGCTGCGAAACTAGTTGTGAAAGAAATGAGTGATGCTCAAGTGAAGCCTGCTAAAATATTAGCATCTGTGTTAGAGAAATTTCCAGAAGACCATCCAAACCAAAGACACATCTACAACGTCAGACAGCAACTCAGGTTTGAACGGTCAGAGGGAAGGAACCCTATACAGCAGCTGCTACACCAGGCACAGTCACGTGGTTACCTGTTCTGGTTTGATTCTGATGAAGATACAACGAAGGTGACTCATCTTTTCCTTGTGCATCCTGATTGTGCTGATATGATCAAGTCTTGGCCATTTGTGATTTTGATCGACTCAACGTACAAGACAAACAAGTACAAGTTCCCACTGGTTGAGATCATGGGGATGACTCCAACGAACCAGAACTTTCTGATTGGTCATGCAATCATCAAGGATGAGACGGCTCCAAGTTATTATTGGGTGTTGGAGAAGCTGAGAA